ACTGGGACATTCTGCACACCTCCTCACATCCGTATTCCCCAGAAAATAATTTAGTGTCTTGCATCAACAGCATGTAGAATCTTAAAGAAGACCAATTGTGCTTGTGTTTGCTATACAATTATAATGTATGGCAACCATGGATCATTATGCCATAATTTGGACATTTTAAAATTACTTTGTAAAAGAAACAAGTAGGCTGACTTTCACATTAGAAAACTGGGGTGCCGATGGGAGCTGACATCACTGTAAACGTCAGCTGCTTGCTGTCGGCACCTCCTATGGATAGCTGCAGATCACACATGCACGGAGCTGACTTTTTTTTTTTTTCATTCATACCAAAATGACTACGACTGTACGCAGTGTGTACCTTGAATGTCCAAAGACGTTACACATGGAGGAGCATGAAGGTGATTATTGACCAAATTGTTCACTTTTTACTGTATGCATTTTTACTCTGGATCATAAGTTTTACTCTGAAAACTGTTTGTTGTTTTGTTTTTGACATTTTTATACAGGAAAAAAACAATGCTTATATTACTATAGGATATATTATTGTTTTTGTTTTTAGAATTCTTTTTTTTCTACAACTCATAACATATCAAATCAATATTGTGACCCATGTATCGAGATACATATTGAATCGTGAGAAAACTGTATCATTGCATTCCTAGTCAGTGGGAATAGTAATAACAGTATAACATTTATTTTGATCAGTACTTAGACCATATCTGGTTCTAGTATCTTAACAATTTCTCTTTCTACATCAAAGCTGCATCCATCATTACTAAGAATTATCATACACTTTAAGATGCACGATGTTGCTTGTCCACCAAGTCAAGTTACAGATCAGATCAGTGGAGAGGCAATCCAGCTCACAGTAATAATACATGTTTGGAAGGTAATAAAAACTGTAAGTGATAAAATGCATGGTAGACAGGTTTAAGGGCTCAAGGGCTTGAACGCACAAGAGGAATGACATACACAGTTTTAGAGCCACAAGTTACAAATTCTGAACAGTAAATTCCAGTTTGATTATAAATTTATCTGTAAACCAAATTATGAACCAAAACATATCTATTTCTATCAAAGACACTTAAGTAACTGAGCATTTTAACTGTCAACTACAGAGAGCAGAGTTCGTGGTTTATAGTTAAAAGTGTCGTATCTGAGTTTTACCGTCTTAAAAATGTGAAAAACAGAACTAGTTCATTTGAAACAGTTTGTAGTGGTCCAAATGTATACGTTTATAAGCACTTATGACAACTTTCAGAGGAAAGAGTGGAGTTTTCATCACGGAAATGCTAACAACAACTAGCATGCTAACACTAATTGTGCACTTCCTGATTCTCGACTAATATAACACTTTATAATTAGACGCAGACAGCATGCTGCAGACTTATTGTGACCTCAAGAGCTGTTTACAATATATCTGTACTGAGGCAAGACACATTTTGCTCAAATACATGGAAAAAATCAGGTACAGGCCCTTTAATGTCTCTTTATCCACATCCACAAAAAATTTATATGGTAAATTTGTGAATCCAATCCTCATTAATGGGCCCATATTACGCAATTTTTTAAATCGATGTTATAATGTTGTTTCCTCATCAAAAAATATAGCTGAAGTTGCGTTTTTTTTCTCCATTCACACTAGAGCCCGACCGATATGGATTTTGCTGTGGCCGATATGAAACCGATATAATGGGAGTTGGAGCCGCTGATAGCCGATATAATCACCGATATATTTAGTGATGTAAAAATTCAGTGTAAATGTTGAATTGTTTCAAAAACTTAGGTTTGGCTCTGGTGGATTTTAAATTGGGTTTATTTAGGCAACATTTATTGTTATTCTGCCTCTACATCATATTTACAGACAGTAGGTTGGCTTAATGGCATTTTTGCATCACATTCTAGACACTAGTGATGGGTATTCCAGTTCTTTTTAGAGAACCGGCTCTTTTGGCTCGGCTCACTAAAAGCTGCTGGTTCTTTTGGCTCCCAAGCGGCTCTTCAGATTGTTTTGTTGCAAGCAGGTCTAAAGCAGGACTGAAAAAGGACTAAACCAGGACTAAAACAGATCTAGACCACATGTAAAACAGGACTAAACCAAAACTAAACCAGGACTGAGTGTTGGGACTCGGTCTCTATCTCGTGCCCAAAATTAGTCCTGGTTTATTTATTTTATGCTAAACTACAGCCAAATATGTACACGCAAATTTCTCAAAGTTTCGTTTTCAGCCGCTGTCAAACTACCACGAGTCTGCACGCGGCGTGACGAGAAAAAAAAGTGAGAGAAAGAGAAAACACGACTCCCAGTAAGGATCAGTCTCCCGTCGTTCGCTTCAAAGAGCCGGATCTAAGAGTCATTTCGTTCGCGACGGACCCATAACTAGTAAAGAAACTAGCGCTATTAGCCTTTAGCCGTAAATACGTGCGCGCCGTGGTAATTAATTATATGCGCAAATGTCATAATTCACACGTCTATTCACAGCTCATTTACATCAATGCTGGTCCAGTAACAAATATACGGCCAATGTAGTCACTTTACAATAGACCAATAGAAAACAGCCTGTTTATGTGCGGGAGCTACAGCAGCTAACCCATAACAAATGACCAAAACTAGCTTCAAAGTCGACATATTTCCAACACTCACCGCTCACACAGGCTCCTCCTCACATCACAAGTCTGAACTAATAAATGTCCTTTTAATCCAGACTCAAACCGATTGTCCGTAAAAACAATATAATCTCAGTGTTTGGATCTGTGTGTGCAGGTGTAAACAAACGCACGTGAGTGACGCGACTCTGTGGTGTGTTCAGGGACAGTATGGATACAGACACAGACAAATGACTCCGCAGATAAATACTGATGTGGAGACACATATTAGGACATTTATCTGTCTGTAAATTGGATTAAATGAGCATAATTTAGAGAGTCTAAGATTTATAACAACGTATAACATGCCCACGTGAAATATCGGCCCCTATCAGCAAGCATATCGGCCTCCAGGTGCCCATATCGGCCGATAATATCGGCCAACCGATATATCGGTCGGGCTCTAATTCACACAAACACTGCATATGTAGTTAGGGTGAGTTCTTCTCTCAAACACAAAACATTCACTCTTTTGATGTCATGCGGTAATACACAAATTGCTCTACTGTTTTTTTAAACTCCATACACCTTCTTTAGAATCATTTGGATCATTTCAGTCCTGGAATTGCCAACCTCTACTGAACAAAGCATAAAAGGTATTTGTTAACTTGAAAATACTGCTTCATACCACCACAAGGTAGAACAGAGCATTTTAAGTTTTGGAAATGTAGACAGACTAATAATAAATGATTACTCAAACATGTGTGAATGAAACACAACACACCTCAAGCCAGGTATGTTTTTGATGAGGTAACAACATTATATCACAGCTTAAAGTTCTCAAAAGTCAGTTTTGTGTAACATAGGACTTTAAATATAGCAATGGATAGATAGAGACAGACAGATAGACAACAGTAACTCTGGCTCCTCTCCACAGCAGCTGGAGGCAGTGCTCGACCTTGAATCATTTGGTTAAATGAGTTAATTGCATCCTGCACTGTTCAGTCTGAATGGTGACATTATTCCAAACAAAGCCCCTGGGAGTCCGACCATCTTTGGCACATCGACTGGAGGAAGGACACCAGCTCTCACTAAGTATGGACTTAAAATAACTACAAAAACGACCCCATTCTTCACTGGCCCTGCTGCAAAGGAGCATGCCAATTCAATTACATAAACCAATTGATATTCTAGATTTAAGCAAACATATCAAGTAGTGTCTTTTTGAAAGGACTGCAGTAGTAGTAGTGAGGATCTGTACAAACATGTTCTAAAATTTAATTCTTGTATTAATTTGTCAGTTATTTTTATTTATTTATTTTTTGTTGTGAAATCTCCTAAACTTAGACTGAACTGAACTTCTTTTTGGAATTTACAATTGTGTCATTACTGCATTATACAATCTATAATACAAAGAAGGAATGTCAAGATAAGTAAATGAATCAATAATTGTAATTTAGGATCTAAAAAATAATAATTAACAGAAACAGAAGTAATAATAGATTATTCCAATTTAATACTCCCAAAATGACAACATTAACTAAAGTGCCTATATTCTGTTTGTTATTGTTACATTTCATTCAGAAAGCTGGTCACATACTAGAGAAATGATCATCATGGGACTAAATAATACATGTTAGGTCATGGTGTCAAATATTGGGAATATAACTGCATGCTTCTAGACTATTATTTTCAGTTTTTTTTTTTTTTTTAATACTAATAAAGAATTTGTTTAGTTTTTGCTAATTATTTATCACAATATCCAATAAAGCTGTTTTTCTTACACCAAGTCTACTGGTGCATTTCCTTCTCCTGCACAGTCTACTCTTAACAGCTGCAAGACCCTGCATGTAGTCTACTGTTGTAAAAGCACTAGGCTACAGCATGAAAACAAAAAGCCCACCTAACTCAAAACTTAGGCTATCTGTGAAATCATTTTTGGAGTTTGTTATTTGCAACAGGCTACAGTAGTCAAAGTTATTTTAATAGGCTTTAGGCCAGTATATTTTCCTATTTAACCCTAGTCTAAATTAAGAGTAAAGATGTGCTTTCCAACTGTAACATTAAGATAAGATAGATCGCGCAGTGTTGTGTTAGATTTAATTCTCTTATAGGCATAGTTATTTCTCTTGATATTTAGTGCATATTTCTACTCTCCTGCTGTTCTTGAACTTTGTATTGCAACATTGGAATTTCCCTTTTGTGGAACAAATAAAGGCTCTTCTCTTGTTGGAGACGAATAGTCAAGGCAAGTCATTTTCCTGGGTCATTATTCAATTAGACTAGAGCAGTTCAGTCCAGCACCTACCTTGCCTTTTTAGTCCTGGGTCAGGTTAAGTCCTGATTTGGTCCCGTTGTTTAAAAAAAAAAAAAAAAAGAAAGGATCGAAAGTCATGTGTACGTACCAGATATGCCCCCACGGTGCCCTGTGCCAGCATGAGCGCGCATTCTGAAATCAGGAAGATCTTGATATTAGAGAAACACGAGGAGTTTTTGCGCAGGCCGTCTCCTTCTAGAGTGTCCCCGGCGCTGTCAGGCTCTGAGTCCCGCTGCTGCTGCTGCTGCTTCACCTGCATCCTCCTCCCGACCTCTGGAGCTCCAGTACCACCGCTCCACACAGCACCGCACTACGTGCACTAGAGCCGAACACAGGAGACCGCAGCGCTCTCTCAGCCCGCTACACTGCGCTCTGCTTCAGCCCAACATTCGCCACGCTTCCCTCTGTGAACCTCGCCGGTTGTTTTGGCTTCGTTAGCTTGTCTCGCTGAGCTAACACATCCGAACTCCCGGCTTCAGCATTGCCTCCTCTTCTTCTCTGCGTGAACAACTCCCAGGAGGTGTCTCCAAATGCACCAGAGCGAAGCCTCGGCCGTACACTGCGCGCTCACATGTCATGTTTCCCGGGCTTCATTGGAGTTTGAGCGGCAGCGGCGGCGGTAGAGTCCCGGGGCTCGGTCCGTTTCGGAGTGCCATGCTGCTGGGTTGAGGCGCACACGTTGACTGACTGGCTGCTGCTGCCCCATGTGTCATTACTGTACACTCCGCCTCCTGCGCGCCCGGGAGGCGCTGTTGGACTTGTATCACAAAGCTTTGTCCCAAATAGACAAACATTTATAAATTAACAACTGAACTTTTCAAGTTGTTACTTAGCCTAAAGCTGCACCATGTAACATTTCTGGTGGTGGGCACGTCACCTGCGTGATACCATGGAGAATGATAGAAAAATAAAGCCAAGCGTTGGAACATTCTCTGTAGAGGAGGATATACTGGTTGGATAATGGAACTTTCCTTCCTGGCAAAGGACCAACATCTTCATGGAGACAAGCAGGTGTGCACCTTCATTTTAGTCTATTCTTTGGTGGCTGTAATTATCCAGTCATGCAGTATTGTCTTTAAAATATGGAACCCACCTAGGCGGAGGGCCAAAAGCACCGGCTTTCTTTCATGAAAACATGGGTTAGAATCTAGGCAGTTTTACTCACCAAGACCCACTTTGATTCTTGAACATTTTCACAAAATAAAATTTTCCCATAGACATTTCAAAAAATTCTAATGTTATGTTCAAAGACAAACTAATATCGACTTTAAAATGCAAGATTTGGTGAAATGTTTTAATAACTTTGAAATTTATAAAGTTTTAGAAACATATTTAAAACTAAATGGTAGGTCTTGTGGTCATTAGTTAATACGTACTTTTTTTTTTTTTTTTTTTTTTTGCTGTTGAGCTCCATTATAATGAAATGAAAATAAGTAAAGTTGCTGTGAAAGATGGGTACAGCATAGAGATTTTATAATAGATCCGTAGTAGAGGTGCAATATGAGCCTCAAAAAACTGTACGGATAAACTGAAGTCACCCCACTTATAAATACCAACTTTATACCGTGGCCCACGAAACATATCTCACTCATGGTTGGGAGCATGGCAAAGTTGAACAACAGGAGGGCGGGGTTTGAGTTGGCACGAGATTTTTATTTTTTTTTTGGGCACGAGAATGTTTCCAGATGTGCTATTGGCTGACAGCAGAGGAAATGTCACGCTTTGCAATGGCTGTCTGCTGTTTTTGCCTTGAAAAATGTCAGAGAAAAGTTGCAGTTAAAAACATGCACGAAATACAAGCGACAACAAATTTATTTAGAGTCCCTGATAAATGGATCATGTCAGCTAAACACAGAGTCCTTCCTCGGTGGAGATCTATCAGCTGCATCAAAAAGACTGTTGGCCCACCGCTGTGCAATAGTTAGATCCTACATGCTAGAACTAAATATGTAGGCTGTAGTACCTTACACTTTTATCATCATCAAACAGAAACAGGAAAAAATGTAGCCTATGCTTGGTTATTGTTGGAACAGGCTGCCTCATGGCACAACAATTGGCAAATGTCACCATCAGAATCAATATACTTATCCTGTTGTGAGTGTTTATAACTTAGTTAAAACTAGTCTTTTACTTTGATTAGCCTACACTTTTTCACTGTGCTTGCTACTTTCCCCAGAACAGAGCACCTGGTGAGCATGTCTCCACATGTTAATGGAATATGAAGAGCCGAGTCCAGTCTACTCTCAGTGTGTGCAGAGACAGTGTGGGCTCAGACTTAACCACACAGCTGTGGCCCGCTGCGGTGTGTGTATCACACTGCTCTAATGCTCAGACTCAGTGCTGTGTGCCTACTTTCAAAACTCCACGTGGAGCTATGTGTCACTTCATCCATGGATTTTCAGAGGAACAATGTTACGTGGAAGTTTCTTTTTTCCGAAAGCTTTCAGTCCTTACATCTTTTCAATCATCGCTTCCTTTGCTATATTTGTTTGCCGTTTTGCTTTGTTCCCTCTTAACACATGCACAAGTGTTAAGGCACAGATAGAAATTACACTGCTCACATCCTAATGTGCTGTTTACATGCCTTTTTGATAATCTAACAACTGTAGAAGTCAGATTCTCATCACTTTGTATGGTGTGCATGTAGACATGGTGAGAAATGATTGTGGTTATTTTTATGTGCACACCAAATATCTGATCATTGTTCTTACTGACAGCAGTGTGGCCTCTCCTTAGATCTGATATCTAACTCTGCCTAGTGCAGTGCTTCTCAATTATTTTCTGTCATGCCCCCCCTAGGACGAATAAAACATCTCGCGCCCCCGCGTGACTATAGATAGTATCATTTGTCTATAAAATTGTTATAAGTACACCTGTGCGTAACACTGCCACCTTATATGACGCCAACAACGCTCGCTGGTTTACTGAAGTAGCAGTCACAAAGCGGGATGATTGTCAATCCGTGTATCATTCGTTCAATTCGTTTTTCAATATAAAACCAAAAATAAGAAAACGAAAAAACAACAGTTTTCTTCGTTATTTGTCTCCAAAACCAAAATGAAAAAACGGATAACGATTCTTCATTTAAACACAAAATCGAAAACTGAAAAAACGAATCAATATCCGTTTTTTCATTTTGGTTTTGGAGACAAATAGCGAAGAAAACTGTTGTTTTTTCGTTTTCTTATTTTTGGTTTTATATTGAAAAACAAATGAACGAATGATACACGGATGATTGTCGGCAATATTCGGCACGTTTTCGCTGAAAAATCTCAAGCGGCTTATCAGAGTGATTGGGGTGTAATGTATTTAAGTGACGCCTTAATTTATTGGGCTTCATGCTGTCGGCTGCCAACATTTTTAGACACAGTAAGCACACCGGTCTTTCCTCGTCTCCCACCGTAGTCACAGTGAAGCCAAGCGCTACATACGCTTCGTCATATTTCCTCGTCTTAGCTTTCGGGAGATTTTCGTTTGTCTCTTTATCTCCGTGTCTCTCCGTCTGTCTTCTCATCCCTGTTAAATATGTTTTCATGGTGTCACTTGAGGGTCTGCTACACTTCGTGTCTACACTTCATACTCAAACTCTGTGCTGTGTGCAAAGCGCGCATGCTCAGTGCAAACAAAACTCCTACACCACCGAGGCGAATGCTCCTGCGCACACTCTGCCAATGAGAGCGCCACTGTCCCCTAATGTAGTGGAAGTGCAATTGCACTTTATTCTAAAGGCCCGTTCAGACAAAGCGTCAAAGCGTCCACTTTCTATGTAAAGTCTATGTGGACGCACGACTAGAGCGTCCTGCGTTTTTGCGGCGCGTTTTCGGCGTCAGCGCGGCGCGAATCTGGCGTCAGCGCAGCGCGTCTTCAGCGTTTTGGCGTCAGCGGCCAAGACGCACATCCAAGGCGTCAGCGTCAAGAAGTTGAAAATGCTGAACTTTTCGCGTCAGACGCGCCGCGTCAACCAATCAGGAACGAGTATCCAGAGATGCAGCGACGTTATTATCAGGAAGAAAAACCCGAGAACCAGAACGAGAAACACAAACATGAACGGAGAATAAATATATACACCACAATCACCGAGCCGATCGCCAGGACTAAACCAGGACCGGACCAGGACCAAACCAGGACTAGACCGAGACTAGACCGAGACTAGACCAGACTAGACCAAGACTAAACAAGGACTAGACCGGGACTAGACCGTGATTAGACCAGGACTAGACCGGGACTAGACCGGGACCAGACCGGGACTAGACCGTGATTAGACCAGGACTAGACCAGGACTAGACCGGGACTGATCCAGTGTCATTAGTGGAGTATAAATATAAACACGCCCCAGTCGTCGACCCGATCTCCTCCTTTGATGTTTTATGTCATAAAAACACTCTCTCAGTCTGGTCTGACATTGTTTCGGGAAAAGACCGGGACCGGGCTCTTGTTTCCAGGGCAACGGACGCGCGTCAAGTATTTTTGTCCCGTTCGTCCACGGCGTCAAAGATGCGCGTCGGGGCGACTAAACTCAAATGCAAAGGCTCCAAATAGAGACGTCAAGGCGTTTTTTGACGCTTTGGTGTGAACGCTCTTAAGACAGTAAAAAAAATCAAAAATAAAAAAATAAAAAGCATGCTCCCCGAGGTCAAACGCGCCCCCCTTGACGGAGCCTCGCGACCCCCCAGGGGGGCGCGCCCCACTATTTGAGAAGCACTGGCCTAGTGGCATCTCCTTCAATGCTGCAGTCTTCCCATCAAAGCAATAGCACTAGGAGAAGACTCTCCACCAGAAATGTGACACAGTGCACCTTTATATAAATAAATATGTAAACAGGCCATTGTGGTGTGAGCTCCCTCAGTGCTGCCTTCAGAATGTCAGTCTAATACTGTGTAATCTCATTAGAGGGATTGTCCGGGCTTTACATTAGACCAGATCAGACATTTGACATGTACATGTACTCAAACTGTTCTATTGGAAATGTGAAATACAAAGACAGAACAAGAGAATTCAAGTTTAAAACGCTGACCACACTAACCATGGCCATTCAAAAAGCCGCCCAGGCCTTTCTGTGCAGAGTTTGCATCTGTCAGGTTTCCTTCTTCAGCATACACACTGTGAAGCAGTACCCCACTGTTCCTGACAGGCTGTCCCAGTGGCACTGGCCAAATGCACAGAATGAATCCCCTCACAATATCACAATATCAGATCAATGAAGATCAAATACCTTAATCTTAATATTACCTCACACCAAAAACCATGGATACACTAATTGGCGCGCACACACAGCATGTGTGTTAGCGCCATTATTGAGTCTTTTCACATTGACAGCAGCAAGCCAGAGTTTCACACAGTTGTTTCAGTTAGTCACCTGTTTCAGTTTCAGACAACTGCCAAACTTCTGCTTTTCAACCGTCATTTACTGCAGCCTCCTGATCCAAAGTCCACCCTGTGTGTGAGGAGCACTCCCATATCATCCACATGTCTCCTGCCAGTACCACCGCAACCAAGTAAGGGTACAGCTGGAACTTACATTTAAGGAGTGTTAAGTAAAATGGACTTTTCTACCACCTTGTAACATTAATCTCTCACTAGAAACATGCCTGAAGTGGTTTTATATTTTATCCATGCATGTCATCCATGTATGTTTTCTCTCTATTTGAACCCTCCTTACGCTTAGTAGTACAAGCCTGTGCAAGGCTCAGCCCACA